GATTTTGACGACAATGATAAACAGACATTCGTCCTGAATGAGCTCTCGTGGTCTGGATGGCTTGTATGGCCATTGGAACCTGGCACTTTTTGTGGCATATGCATTGTCCTTCATCCACCCCCCGCTATCAAAAAGGTGAAAGGTGACAGGTCGAAATAGGCGACAGGGCATGCCAAAAGAAGGGAGAGTAGCCTCGGGAATACCCGATGGCTGCGTTCAGTTGTGTTATGTCGCACTGCTCGTGAAAGTCTGCCATCAATTCGTGAATTACTAAACAACGAGGCACACGATCAGGCATTCTTTCACGTCATTATCGCGCCTGGTGCCCGACCGGGGTTTGCCCAATCATTGTCGTAGGGCGTTTTTTGTACACAACGGCCCAGCATAACGCGGCCCCAAGAAGGCTGAGCTGAGCTGGCTTGGCGCTGTGGGCAGACGGCAAATTGGCAAGCTGGACGTGGATTTGGGGTGCCTAGGTCTTGGCAGCTTTCTGCGACATATTTTATGTCAGTGTATGTTGTTCCTGTCGACTTCGCTTTTCAATGCGTCGCCGCTTCATGGCCTTTACGATTTTGTATTCGATTGTGAGTTTAGGGTCACGATTCTGAACAACGACGGCATTGGCAACAAACAACACTGACCACATAGAAGGACACAGACTACAGAACATGCCAAATACAACAGCTTCCGCGGGACCTGCCGCCGCTACGGCCGCGACTGTCAGCTGGCTGCATGCCTACCCGCCGCTCCTAATCCTGGCGTCCGCTGCCATGGCCCAGCCGGCCGGCCGTCTCCTCAGCGTCGGCGCCATCAGCAGCGTCTGGCTGCGCGTGTCGCCCATTCTGTGCGCGCTGGACGCGCTGTCCGTGGTTGCGCGCTGCCTCGTCTACTGCGTCCTGCTGCGCGCGACACCGTGGCAGGCTCTCGTCCTGATTGGGACGGACCGGTTCGCTGATGACGCGGGCACGACAGTCGCAGCAGCCGCGTCGGCGACGGAGCGCGGCACGACGTCGCGGATCGCTGCCGTGGCCAAGGCGGCGACGACGACGGCGATCCGACTGGCCGGGTTTGCGCTGGGGGTGGTCCCGCTGGTCGAGCTGATCTGGTTCGAGCCGGGCGGGCACGAGGCGCGGTGGACGGCCGCGTGGGGGTGGCTGTACGTCGGGTCCTATGTCTTTCTGGAGGCGGCGGCCGCCGTGTATCGCTGGGAGCAGGCGCAGCCGCAGTACACGGCAGCAGACTTTGAGCTGGACGAGGTGGAGGCTGACGACGTGGCACAAGAGGCGGCGGCAGTGACGGCGGGGAGCGGAACGGATGGCGTGCCGTATGACGGAGTGCCAAGCAGAGACAGCGACGAGACGCGGCGGGCATCGCAAGAAGGAACGGTCGTGGGCGACGATGACGAGAGGAACGACAACGACGACGACGACGACGACGACGACAATCCAGTCGACGATGCCGAGACGGCAGACCTCCTCATCCGCGGCGGTGACCGAAGCGATACGGCGGCGGTCGCTGCTCCTGCAGCGGCCTCTGCGACGCCGGCCGACGTCGAGGCCGCCAAACCGCATCCGTACGAATACAACAACGACCCGTCCTCGCATCCACGCCTGCCCGGCATCCACACCGCCTTTGCCAAAGGCGAGTCCTATGCGATTGCGCTCGGCGTCCTCGCGCACGCCGTCATCGTGTACTGGATCTTTCTGGACCTCATCCAGCCGCCCATCAATGCGCACATCCTGCAGGTCGACAACACCACCAGCGAGGGCTGGCAGCTCGTCAGCGGCTGGGCGGTGCCCCTCTACTACCTCGGCCTGCCCTTTACCTTTGCGGCAATGCTCGTCATCATGGCCGTTACCCTCGGCGGCGGCGCCCTCGTCGTCATCGCCCTGCTGAGCATCGCCAAGGCCATCAACGACCAGCTGCCGGCCTCCGTCACCGGCTGGGCACGGGGTCTCGTGCCCGCCGCCATTACCGTCGGCATGGCCGGCCTTGGTGGGCTGGCGACGGTGGTGTCCTTCTTCATGGGGTCGCCCGCGCTCGGCAACCTCCTCTTGTCGCCGCACATGATGTGGATCTATTCGATGCTTTCCGTCGAGATCGTCCTGCTCGTCCTCTACTTGTTTGCCTCCTTTTTGCTCTACGTCGTCGTCCGGCAGTGTGCCATCGCCTTCAAGACGAAATACGGCGTACCGCGCTCGGCGACGGACCAAGAGCCTGCGCCCGCGTCCGCGTCACCATTCGACCGCGGCCTCTCGCGCGCCACGGCCGTCTTCCACGCGCCCGCCGACGACGCGCCCCGATGGGCCGCCGGCCTCCTGCCCTACACCACCGACGACAGCGCCGGCCTCCTAGCGATGGCCCTGCAAACCTTCGTGCTGTCGCTGGTGTGGTACGCCGTCCGCTTTGCCGTGTCGGGCCACTGGGCACAGCATTGGGCGGACGCACTGGTGGCGAACATCACAATGGTACACAACGGGACAAACGGGACAAACGGGACCACCAATGCCACCTTCTCTGTGTCGTCTGTTGTCGTGTCCAGCACGCCTGTCAGCACCCCTGTGCAACTGTTTTGATAGAGGGGAAGGAAGGGACTATGGAGACTACGCTGGCCCAATCCTCCCATGGTCGGTGGGAAGAAAGCGAGCATATACCTATTTGTATTTTCTAGTCATCCAACAGCGCTTGCTTATGAATTTATCTTTATTTGATGTCTTCGGTCTCCTTGTGTCCCCTCACGCCGTCCTTATCGACATATCGTGACTCGTCGATACGAAGCCTACAAGTCGAAATGTTCGGCAAATGTTTGACACGGTTTGCATTCATCCGTTGGCAGATGCGCCAATATAGATAGCGTAAATGAATCGACACATCAATCTATGGCATCCTCCACTGACATCTCACCGACCCAGAATTATCCATAGTGTGGTTGTCCGACCCGCAACCTGGATTACGGACAGTAGAGATGCCGCGTGCCGTTGTTGGCTGGTTTGGTAATAATATAAGAATATAAGGAACGACTGTAAGTCGCAATGGTGCATAGTTTCCTGGAGACGGCGATACATCAACCACAATCAGCCACTGCCACGCCACGACCACCACCATGAAGCTGTCCATCTCGGCCACCGCCGCCCTCCTCCCCGGCGCCCTCGCCCAGGGCATGCTCCGTTTCGGCTGCTCGCAGCTCGTCATCGAACGCATCGACCCGATTGTCAATCCGGGCGAGGATCCGTCGTCGCACACCCACCAAGTCGTTGGCGGGAATTCGTTCAACACTACGGTAGGTCGACTGTATTCTCCGACAGTCTCCGACTGTGTCCGACTGTGTCTCATCCCGTCACTGACAGCGTAGATGGACCCGGCAAACCACGACCCGCCGGCCCTGTCCACCTGCACGTCCTGCACCTACAGCGAAGACTTTTCCAACTATTGGACCGCCAGCATGTACTTTAAGAGCCCCGAGAACGGCTCCTACCGCCTGGTGCCGCAAATGGCAAACTATCGCAACCGCAACAGCCCCGAGCTGCTGCAGCAGCAGGGCGGCCTCACCGTCTACTACATGCAGCCCTTTGGCGGCGCCAGCAAGACCACCGCCTTCAAGCCCGGCTTCCGCATGATTGCCGGCAACCCGGCGCTGCGCTCCAAGGCCGGCACGGTCCCGGGCATCTGCCACCGCTGCAACGGACAGGCCGAGCTCAACGGCCTCGGCGGCGTCCCCTGCGACAGCGGCGACTCGTCCAGCTTCCCGGCTACGCCCTGCCCCGGCGGCATCCGCGCCACCATTATTTTTCCCTCCTGCTGGGACGGCAAGACCCTCGACAGCCCCGACCACCAGAGCCACGTGGCCTACGCCCCCGGCGGCCACGCCCTGGCCAACGCCGACTGCCCCCCGTCGCACCCCGTCCGCGTGCCCCAGGTCATGTACGAGGTCATGTGGGACACCCGCCCCTTCAACGACCCCGCCTACTTTGCCGGCGGCCGCCAGCCCTTTGTCTACTCCTTTGACGACGCCACCGGCCACGGCCAGCACGGCGACTACCTCTTTGGCTGGAAGGGCGACGCCCTCCAGCGGGGCATGGATGCTTTGGGGACCAACGGCTGCACCAACGACGTGTGCAGCACCGCGCTCAAAATCCAGTCGGGCGCCGACGCCATCGCCTGCACCAAGGCGTCGCAGACCGGCGAGGATGTCGGCCGCCAGGGCGGCTGGCTGGCCTCTCTGCCGGGGTTTTCCGACAAGGAGGCGATGTGAGGGTGGGGGGTGGAGGATGGACGCGTGGGCGGTGATCTCTGAGAATTGGTCATGGGCGGATAAATAAGTATTGGACGGTTCACTTTCGCGGTGTGTGCAACTGCAGCAATAGACGACTCCAGACTACATATTGATGGACAGTATCGGTGGCAAGAGTTGGGATGGATTGTCTGTGATGTTGACACAACAACAGCAGTACTGAAGACGTTATTGATAGCATAGAGACGAATATGTTCCCGCAAAATCAGCTCTTCACTCTATGATCGTTTTCCCATGTTCATTTTTTTTTTATTTTTTTGTTGACGTTTAATAAAACAACATGAGGGTTTACATCCAGATCGTTAAAAACAGAGTTGGTAAAATCATACGGCTCTCTCCAAGCGACAAAGATTAAATACCATTTAGACCTAGTCCTTGCATCATAAGTCTTCATCAAGTCCATCTCTTGTCTTTTCGGTAACATAGTAGTAATTACATGTCTTGAGAGACTCATTTGCGTGGTGTGTTATTGTTATCTGAGGCTCACGGTTTAGTCATCAGGCTGGGCCTTTTGGCGGGGTCTTATCGCGTAAATGTTGGTGGATCACACCATTCAGTCGAAAGTATGACGTCGACCATGATTGTCTCCCACGAGACTCAAGTCATCAAAACAGACGGAATTATCCGTACAGCTCTGTACAGCTTCTGTACAGCTTCATCTCACCTCATATCAGTTAATTGCACTACATTCATAAACGCTACACACACAATGTCGTCTGTTCTCATTGTCGGGGCCACTCGAGGCCTGGGTGCGTCTCTTGTCAAGAAATACGCCGCAGCGGGATGGACAGTCTACGGTACGACGCGGTCGGCCGAGGGCCCCAAAACCGGCGATTTCCCGGCGGGCGTCCAGTGGATTCCCAAAGTCGACTTGATGGACAAGAGCGCGGGCGCAACTATTTCTGACTTTTTTGGCCAGTCCAAGCCCTTGGACGCAGTGGTATGACCCATCCCAGTGTCCGCCATGTTGTGTTTTTAGTTTTGCAAACTTCTCGTCACTCACATGGCCGATCTATCACAGATCATCTCTGCCGGACACTTCACTACCGAAGATCTGGACAAGAAGGGCCCGAACTGGGACGAAGAGGTGCGCATGTACACGACAAGCTCGATCGCGCCCGTGTTCATCGTGCACGCTCTCCACACGGCCCACCTCCTCGGCGCGGGCAGCAAGGTGGTGCTGGTGTCGTCCGAGGCCGGCAGCATTTCTCTGCGGCACGAAAAGGAAGGCGGCGGCAACTACGCACACCACGCCTCCAAGGCGGCCCTCAACATGGCTGGCAAGCTGCTGAGCCTTGACCTGAAAGACCAGGGGGTGATCGTCTCGATTGTCCACCCGGGGTTCATGCGGACGGAGATGACAAAGGGCGTTGGCTTTGACCAGTACTGGGACGACGGCGGCGCGGTGACGCCGGACGAGGCGGCGGCCAGCCTTGTTGCGTGGACCGACGGCCTTGACCTGTCCAAGACGGGGCAGTATTGGGCGCCGCGTGGACCGAGAGACATTGGCACAGCAGAGCCCGTCCTGGGCCAGAACCTGCCGACGCCTTTGCAGCTTCCGTGGTAGTGGAGAGGGCCACATGGAACGTGCTTTATGTAGGCAGCTAAATGCTAAATAAACATTGATCTTGCCAAAGAGACGGTCCTTTTCCACTCAGCCCCTACAGCCTGAGTCTATGTTTAGTCTTTCAAGTCTAGAAATAAAACGACTTACACAAAGTCCGCACAATAAACACAAACCAATCATTTGTACATTCTTTTTCATGTCCGTTGTGTGAATGAGTGTTGCACCGTCCGCTGTTAGTTATAGCGTCAAGCCTGGCGACTTACAGCGCCTTTAGTGGAGGCAGCTTTGCAACGCTAAAGTGGACATCAAAGCTTCTCATGACGCCCCACTTTAAAAAAGTTCGAAACCGAAAAGGCAAGAACAACTCAATTCAACCTCATATTGCCAATTGCACCAAATCCAATCCCGACAATCCCGACGACCACCCCCCTGCCTCTCCGTCTGTCTCCCTCGACATGCCCCTCGACACCTCCACCTACTCACTGGCGCTGCTGCGCGTCGACGGCCGGCGCTGGAACGAGCTGCGGCGCTGCCACGCGCAGGTCCGCACCCAGGCCGCCGCCGACGGCTCGTCCTTCTGGGAAATGGGCAATACAAAAGTCATGTGTGTCTTGACAGGACCCAGCGAGCCCGGTCCTAAGCGCGCCGGCACCGTCACCGCCGGCGGTGGCACCACGGGCGCGGGCAACGAGACGGCCGCCGAGGTCGTTGTCAACATTGTCGTCGCGGGCTTTTCGTCGGTCGACCGTCGTCGCCGGGGACGTACAGACAAGTGAGTTTTCCGTCTTTGCACGGTTCGCTTTTTTGGTTTCTTCACGTCCCTCGTATTCTCTCTAACAGCCACCGCCTCCTCCCTGTAGACGCACCCAGGAACTCTCCGCCACCGTCGCCCGGACCCTCGCCGCCGTCCTCCACACCCACCTCTATCCGCGCTCAGCCATTACGTTTTCTCTCCACGTCCTGTCCCACGACGGCTCGCTCCTCGCCGCCCTGCTGAATGCCGCCACCCTGGCCGCCGTCGACGCCGGCATCCCCATGACCGACTACGTCGTCGCCTGCTCGGCCGGCAGCACCTCCAGCGACGCCGCCGCTGACACCACCGACGGCGCCGACCCCTTGCTGGATCTCAACCTCCAAGAAGAACAGGAGCTGCCCTCGCTGACCGTCGCGACACTCGGCGCCACCGACCGCGTCGCCGCCCTCGTCTGCGAGAGCCGCGTCCCGGTCCAGCGCCTCGAGGGCATGCTGGCCGTGGCCGCCGACGGGTGCAAGCAGGTGCGCGCGATTGTGGACCGCGTCGTGCGGGAGGCCGGCCTCAAGATGGCCAAAGAAGCAAACAGCGGTGCAGACGCCGGGAACGTGTCGTCCATGGAGATTGACGTGTAGCCGTTTCCGTATTTGTGGCGGTCTGGAGCATGGCTTTGGAGGGGGGGAAAACTACCGAGAAATACCCGGACATTGGGGGAGCATCAATGGCGTATTGTTATTTTGCTTTACGGTCGGCGTTGGGCGTATTGGTACGTTTCTATCTTTTGCATCTTGTCGTTTTGGGGGTTTTGACTGACTCCATACAGGCTAGGCACGCAACCATAACTGTAATCAATTCAAATTTATTTGTCACATACAAATCGGCGTGCGTTGCAACTTTTTTGACATGCATCTTACAGCTCCTCATGTTTGACCTCCTTGGCCTCCTCTTTGGCCTCCTCCTTGACTTCCACCTTGGCTTCGTCCTTGGCTTCGTCCTTGGCTTCTTCCTTGGTTTCGGCCAGCTTCTCCACCGTTGTTATAACACCCTCTGGCAGCTCGTGCTTCGTGCCCTCGCCCATACGAATGTCGTCGATCCACTGCTCAATCGACTCCTGCGACAGGTCCACGCCGCCGCCTTCGTACTTGCGCCACCAACTGCGTCGCCCATTGACAGCCACCAGCTGCACGCGGTTGTAGCTGCTGGTTGCCTGCACCTCCATCGCCCCGAGCAACGCCGCCGACGCCGGGTTGCTGGCCGGCACCGCGAAGAACGGGAACAGTGCACGCTTGTTCTGTGCGTACTTGTGTGCCACCTCGGCCAGGTGGTCCAGCGCGGTCTGTGTGTCGGCCGAGGCTTCGTCGGATGACGCGTCGCCGACAAATACCAGCACACACGTCGGGGCCTTGCCGCTGAAGCAGCTGCTCTGCAGTTTCGCGGCCGTGTGGATGGTGGGAACCGGCAGCGCGCTCTCCACGATGACGGGGGCTGTCTGCTGTGTAGGGGTCTCGGTCGTCGACGTCTCGGTCTCAGCATCAGCCGTCTCGGCGGTCGTCTCCTTTTCCTTCTCAGCCTTCTTCTCTGCAGTCTTCTTCTCTTTCGTCTCCTTCTCCTTCTTCTCCTTTGATTTCTCGCTCTTGCCCGTCTTCGCCTTTCCATTCAGATTTAGCGGCGGGTTGGGTTCGGCGGCCTGCGACAAAAACGCCGTCATCTCCGCGAGCTTGAACTTGCCCTCGTAGGCAATGGGCGCCGCGTCGTCGTCGCCCGTCAGCAGAAGCAGCGCCGGGAACGTCGTCACGCCGTACTTGTCCACCGTCGCCGCCTCCTTGTTGCGCACCTGGCCGATGGCGATGCTTCCCAGGAAATCCGTTGCCAGCGCCTTGGTGCTCGGTGCCGTCGTGCCCTTTTCCGTAAACAGCAGCGCCTTCGCGCCGGGTTGGGACGACAGGAACTCATCGAGGGTCGCGTCTGTCACCTTGACCACGTGGTTGTTCATCTGCGACGTCACGCTCTCCACAATGGCCGCCGCCGTCCGCTGTCCGTTGTAGTTGTCCACCACGGTGCGCCGGCCCTTGCCCCGGACCTTGGGCGGCCGTGCAATCTTGAGCGTCGGGAAGCCCTCCACACCGAAGCTCGCGCATGTTTCGCGTGCCTCCTCGCAGTTGACGGCCACCACGTTGGCCAGGCCGTCGAGGCTGCGCGCGGCCTTTTCATAGTCGGGCTTGAGATTCTTGCAGTGGCCACACCACGGCGCATAAAACTCGATAATCTACAGGGTCTGTTAGCATATGCCCTCCCCTGTGCTTTCTAGAACACGCTGGAGTGAAACGTACCGATGTCCGGTTGGATTGGTTGATGAGGCGGTCCAGCTGGGCCCTGCTGTTGATCTGCGTGACAGCCGAGTTCTTGCTATACAACGACTCGGAGTTGCTCTGGGCCAGTGCCTCGTGCATGCCGGCAAGGGTGGCCACAACGGCCAAAAGGGTTTTGGAATGCATTCTCGGGGTTTGGATTGGACCTGGACTTTGGATGTTGTGATTTCAGAGTGAAACCATCGAAGTGCAAAAGATTGAAGAGTGGTATCTTGTACTGCTCAAAATATAGCAAATATAAATCAAATGCAAACAGGCGTTACAGAGGTAGATCGGCGGTCGTATGCCAGCTTTATCCTGTTCATGACTTGCGGGAAACGGCAAAAAAGGCCAGCGTGGAGTCTTTGGTGCCACTCTAGGGGACATTGTACCGGCAGTATTTAGCCACCGCCTTTCAATGCGACAGTAGTGCACCAGCTAATGCTAGCTAACGCCACACCGCCTTCAGTTCCCGCTAATGCGGCTCGTGGCTGGAGCTCATTTCGACATTTGGCGGGGTTCGCATCCTCTGACGTGTGCAAGGCAGGAGCAACCGAAGCTACGCAAGTAGTGCTGCGCACCTGCCAAGTCGTGCCACTACTTTCCAGGCAGCCTTGTTTTCTGAAAACCTCAGCATTCTCACATCACCAACATCACGACCATCACCACCCCGTCATCCCACGTTGCGCAGTCGCTGCACCCCCGAATCACTCTTTCTGCGGCCACTGTGGATAAATTACTAGTTGCATTGCAATTCGAATCGGACGTCACTCCCAAGCGCCCACACAACCGCCGCCATGGCCGACGCTATGGCCAGCCTCCGGCAGGCCGACCCCAATCTCTACAAGACGGCCATGCGCGGCGAGCAGCTGCAGAACGCCGAGCCCATCGTTGCCTACTGGTGCGACTACTGGGTCCTCAAGCAGATCCTCAGCAAGGGCCTCCACACCTCCTCGCCCGACGTTTTAGAGTACAGCACCCGCCTCATGAACCGCATGGAGGCCACCAAGGAGAGCCGCGGCAGCGAACCTGCCATCGCCGACGATATCGAGGGCCAGGCCTATGTTGAGCAATTTGCCCAGAAGCGCCTCGACAGCGCCCAGAACGTGGTCAAGGCCAGCAAAGTCACGGCTACCACAGCCAACACCTTCGACGCCGCTGCCACTCTGTTTGGCCTCGTCAACATCTGGGGCGCGCCGGACGCCGAGACCATCCAAAAGATCAAGTACGCCAAGTGGAACGCCACGCGCATCCTGCGGGCCATCAAGGACGGCAAAGACCCCAACGAGTCGAACCCCAAGCCGGGCGATCTGGCGAAACGGAACGCTGAGAGCGCCCTGTCGCCCGGCTCGGAACTGCCACCCGCTGCGCCTGCTGATGGGCCCCGACCGGTGACGATTGAGGATGAGACAGAAGACAGTACAGCTGCGACGGGTGCCATTGCCGATGCACGCCCACGACGCGACTCGGCGGGTGTGTCGTTACCACATAGCCCGGTGTCGTCCGCGGCCGGCAGTGCTCATGTGGCGCCAGGACTGGATACCATTCCGACACTCCCTCCTGCCGCGAGCGGCCCTCTCCCTTCATTTGGCTCGCCAACTGCACCACCAGCCGCAGCACCGTCACCGACCATCTACACACAGGACCCAGATGCCGTAGCACCGTCGTCGGCCACGTACACGGACGACCCAGACGCGTCAGTGCCGCCAGCCAACTTCTCTCCGACCGTGCCCACCTTGAGCCCGCCGACGGCTCCGCCCGATCTGTTCTACCAGCCGCCTCACCAGCAGCCTTCAGCGCCGCCATCCGCGCCACCCTCCGCGCCGCCATCGGCCCCGACAAACGGTGGCTACTTTGCGGGCACCAGCGCTGCACCGCCTCCGGCAGTCGCGCCCACGGGCTACCCGCCCGCCTTTAACAATCGCGTCGTTCCCCAGCCGTCTGCGCCGCTCCCGCCATCACAGCCATCACAACCACCACAGCCTCCACAGTCGTATGCGCCTGTGAACACTGGCGGCCCCGTCGACGACCTCGCCATGGTCAACGCCCAGAAGCATGCCAAGTGGGCCATTTCGGCCCTCAACTTTGAAGACGTGCCGACGGCTGTGCGAGAATTGCGTAAAGCACTGCAGTTTTTAGGGGCGGCGTGAGCTTCCGTGGGGGTGGGGAAGTATAAAAGAAGGGACCATAGACACCGTCTTGCGACAATTTTTGCTCGTGTTCTCGCTCGTTGCCTAGCGTTTTGTTCTGCCATACATGTTTTGTTGAGTCCTGGGTCCATCGTGCATAATACAACTTTATTTTCTAATAAGGAGACTGGTGCCGCTCGTGCCTTCCTTTTCCGTACGGTTATCCCTTTCCGTGGTGCATGTTGTTCCTGCTGTTCTGAGAAGCGGTATCTTGTGTTCATCATACCTTCCTTTTCCCTTTCCAACAAAGGCATCCGCCGCTGTCGCTCCTTCCCGAAGCCTGCAGCTTCGTTCTCGATTTCCCAAACGCTAATTTCTACATTTGCACTTTTTACCCCTAATGACCATCGTGTCTATTTATCTTCGTACTTCCTGTGTTATCTTTTCTCGTGTACGAAACGATTGACAACCACGGACCATGTCGGAATTTCAATTCTCATCACGTCTCATTTGGGGGCCAAAAGGTGCTGCATGCATTGCCACGAACCCCCATTTTACCGCCTGCCCCTCATCCGTCTCGCCAACAATCTGGTCGCCGATGTGATGGCCATGTTTTATCACAGCCCAAGAACGGATCCCATGGCCCATCATGAGGCATTTCTTCTGGCTGAGCAGCAGTCGTCCTTGTAGTTTTAGCCTGCACTGTGACCACGCCGTTGTCCTGCAGATTCGTCTGGCTCAGCCTCCGGTCAGGCACTCAAGGGCAGTCTCTGGTTCTCACCAAAGGATAGGATCTCTTTTCCCGTCATCTCAGTCGCCTCTCTCGTTTTTGTTTCCCTTATGATATGTCGGCGAATCCCCGCGGCAAAAAAAAACGAAATTCTGAGTTAATTTTTGTCGAAACCGTGTGTCTACCCAAAACCCAGCCAACCTTGCTATCTAGGAGAGTCCTTCGTGCGTACTTCTTTGGCCACCTTTTCTTATGTGCCTTTCTACATCTCCAGTGGTCTCTAACATACAAGTGTTTTCCGATTTCCTAGCTTTAATTTCCGCTTCTCACTGGGCACGACTACACACAAAACGCATGAGAGCCACAGCCTCATTTCCCATTGCAGGCAAACATGGATCCCATCACGGCTCTTTCCGTTGCAGCGGCAGCAGGCCAGTTCGTATCGTTCGCCTACGATCTCGCCAAGGGCACTGCGGAACGATACCGATCCATTGAAGGCACCGAAAAGCGCTTTGTCGCAGTGGCCGCAGACGCAAAGCACATCAACGAACTTCTCGATGCCCTTTCCACCCCAAACGACGTCACCGGAGGCACTGGATCGTTCGTGAAATCTCGTACCACGTCGACTCTCACTACAAAGCTCGATGCCATCGTACAAGAATGCCACGCGGTCGGTGTGGAGCTCCAAACACTTCTCGACTCGACAGCCGTGCAACCTTCTGAGAAACGACGAATGGTGCAGAGCGTGCGGGTCACATTTCGGTCTATGCGAAAAGACTCAGAGATATCTCGACTCCACGAGCGGCTGCGCTATTTACGGGAACATGTCGATAGCTGCCTCATCATGCTCCTCTGGTATGTCAACATGCACCGACAATGGGATGAACCAGGCACAGTTTGGCGGCCTAGGCTTAGGAGGCTGTTAAGATGCTAACTATGTCCATTTGCATCAGCACCGAGGCATCGTCCACAAAAAAGGCCTTGAGTACAATCTCAGAAGGATTGTCGGACAAAACACTCGACTCACAGCAAAAATCACTAAATTTAATGGTGAATGACATTGTATCACGCATTAATACAACAAATATGATATCCTCCCGAACGGAGGAATTGATCAGAACAATGGCGCGGGATGCCACAGATATTCGGTCTCGAAAAACACTCATGCTCGCTTTTTATTTTCCTGGGATAGATAAACGGGAAGACGAAGTGTCCGAGGCGCATACCAAAACGTTTCTTTGGATTTTCGATGGATACTCCACAGACGACCATAACGAAGTTATATCGAGCGCCACGGACACAACTAGAGATAAAGAAAAGATCGAAGTCGAGCACATCGAAACGGGAAAAGCAATAAACAACGCAGACGCAGAAGGGGGCCACCCATCCAATTCGAAATCCACAGCTTTGAGGTCCACCAAAGTGGACAAACCCGGTTCGAACAGTAAATGGAAAGTCAAAGTGGAAATCAAGTACCCTAAATTTGAATTTGATACACCATTGATTCAACTACAAGGCCCTTCTGACACTTCTGACAGCGAAGAAGGTGACGAGGATACCACATTACCCGCGAATACGTTTCAAGGCAGCCCTTCTCGTGATGCTGAGCAAAGTTGGTACGAAGATCTGCCTCCGGTCAAGAACACAGGCTTTGTTCCCTGGCTGCGCTCTGGATCGGGTATTTATTGGATATCTGGCAAGCCTGGTGGAGGAAAGAGCGCCTTGGTGAAATTTGTCTATTCACATGCAGTAACCGCCGAAGCACTGGCCGAATGGAAGGGAACTGCAGACTATCTAGTGACCACATGCCACCACTTCTGGTCTGCCGGCTTCGACCTGCAGAAATCAGAAGAAGGCCTACTCCGGTCTATCCTATTTCAAATTGCGGCATCATTCCCAAGTATCGTGGCATCCGTCTGTTCCGAACGCGATATTGGGCTTAGGGGAGACCGTGGCATGTCGTGGACGATAGGAGAACTTTGGGACATCCTGACACGGGTAATCAAGTGCCCCGAGACAATGCAAATATCAGTCAAATTCGCTTTATTCATTGATGGGCTGGATGAATACGACGGCGACCAAGACGAAATACTGCGTCGTTTGAAATCATTCGCGGCACTACCGCATACGAAAATATGTGCAGCAAGTCGCGAATGGTCCGTATTCTACCGCCATTTCATGTCCGACGACGTCGTCCCAGTTCTCCAGATCAAGGTGCACGAATACACCTATAGAGATATATACCGTTATAGCAAGGATAAGCTAGACGGCAAGCATCAGCCAGCTCGTTTTGCACCCACGGTGGCCGAGCGGCAGGTTTTGATCAGAGAGGTGGTCGATCGAGCGCAAGGTGTCTTCCTTTGGGTCAACCTTGTGTGTAAAGAACTCATCCGCGGCTATGACAACTCTGATTCATTCGAAGTATTGCTTCAACGACTACAACACCTTCCAACAGACTTGAAGCCCTTTTTCAAGAAAATGGTGAACGACATTGATCCCATCTATAAGGATGACTTTGGTATGCTTATGTCAGCCATGCTAAAGGCCAATTCATATTTCTGCCACCGTCTGAGTTTAGCAGACTTTGGTCAAGGAAAACGGAGTTGGACACTCGAAGACGCTTGGAATATTGGTCCTGGCCTTTCGACCCGTCAAATAAAGGCACGCGGTGCAGATTTAGTCGAATTCAAGACAGGCTCATGGCACTTTTTACACCGATCTGTTAATGAATTTCTCTGCGAGGACATCCAACTCAATGAAATTTCTCTCATTACAAAGCGGAATTCTTTCAACCCTCATTTATACTGGGCCAGGCAGTGCCTTCGAGCATATTTCCAGAAGCGGCCTAGGTATATCGGAGACTCGCCTACCTTTATGCACGATGCAGTCGAACATTTGTCAGCATATGAAGCCGAGGCAGGCCTAAGCGACACATTGTTCTTCGATGAACTTGACGACCTTTTCACTAGTAAACGGATCGACTCAATAAACTGGCGAAAAGGAACCACGCTCGCCATAGCAATGGAGAGCAACCTCAAACTATATGCTGCATCGGTTTTGCAAAATCAGAAACACAAGTTGCCAGAAGACCTATTCTCGATAAAGAAGGCAAAACACAAGTGGCTTTGTAATTTTGTCTCCTCGCACGACAACCACGACAAATATATCCCAAGAGCAACGCCACTAGCGATGCTAATCGCCGTTGGCTGCGTAACAACTTACAGGCACGGCTACAGAATACGAGCGTACGATACTAGGGCTCCGGAGCTTAAACGAGGTATGCTCGATATAATACTTCCTTTTGGACTTCCAACAATGGAGCCCGTGGACTTCCACCCATCAATCGGAGCGGACAATGCCTGGACCTTCTTTTTACAGTTTGCACGACACGGTGTTATCGCCCCATTTGCATCCGTGCATTCTCAAGACGCCGTGTTTCACTCCATGGCTCGTATTATTGATGAGGGTGACATTTGTGACCATTTCTTCGACAAACGGACACATCTCCCACTGGAGAGACCAAACGATTACACAGTCCGAGAGCGTTGGCTGATGGTTTCCTATGCTCTGCAGCGTCGGCGGCGTCGGAGATCCATTATGGGATGGCTGCCTCGTCCCGCAATGACACACTGGCGGTGCTATCTTCGAGGCTGGGCGTCAATCATCTACCTCGCAATATTTGCGCCGCCAACTAGACTCAGCGATAGGGATATAGAGATTACCATTGCGGAGTGGATTTTAAATACCAGAGGGATACCGCATTATGCTGGCTATCTTTATACGCCTGAAACGCTACCTCGGTGGTGCTCATATCTACCGTGTCAGCTTGACAGCTTCTGTAAGCTGATATGGCCGCCAGTCTGGCTTTGCATAATGTCAATTGTCTACGTCTGGTTCGTGTCCATGATACCCAGATCCAGACAATGGTACGCTGATGCTTCAAGTGCCATCGTATGGATGCCTGCATGGCCCCGACATGAAGGACACGGTTACGCCACAGTGGTCTTGACGACTCATTTGATCGTATGGGTGGCGTCCGTCCTTCTCTGCGTCCGTCGTCGGTACATGAACTATATGACTTGGTTTCTTGCGGAACAGGCCGTATACGATGATTTCGGGCGGGAGAGACAGAGGGGGAAAAGGCATATGACCTCGGACGAGATGAGGCAGAAGCACTGGGAGGATACTGTGATGAGGAGATCGAAGGCAAAGGAAGCGGACGTTATCAAAATAGCTGCTGAAGCAAGGGTGCGTAACTTGGCTATTCCATATTTTGCTTCATTTTTGGTGTTCTGGTTATGTTTTGGGTAGTATGTATTGGCTATTCAAAAAGGAATGGACTATCGTAAGGATCAATGGCGAAGAGGAAATGGCGAAAAGGAAGAAAGAATACAACCGAAGGGATAAATACATTACGTACAGATATGTTGATCATTTCCCTGCATTGAAAATGTAAATAAAAATTGAAGCAATGCTACCCTTAGGTACAACTTTGAGATGCTTACAAATGTGACGACTCGTTTGTAGAATGGTTTAGTCCTGTTTCCGTTTTCATAGTATGTGGTACTTGAATATCACGCCTTACTTTGCTAATTTTCCTCTTCTCATTTGTACAGTTACATCACACTGACTGATTGGAAAGAAGCCGTATTTTGATCACTACAAACTAGTAAATAAAACAACGACTCTCCCCGCATTTTTATTTTCATTTTTTCAGTAACTTTCACGTTTTTTTTTCTTTTGTTCCTTTCAATTTTTTTTCTGTTTTACTTCGTTTTCATTTTTTTCTTCCATCTTTTCATCTTTTATTTTTTTGAAGGGGGAGATTAGAGAATAGAGGTGTGCATGATCCACGCGCCTAATAACGCAACAAAGTAGTAAACCAATAAGCCAAATATATGAAGGACGACATGAATACCGTCAAACTAGAAACATGAAAGAGGAGGCGAACACCGATAAACCAGAAACGAGAAAAGCAAGGTGCGACGAGCACCATAGCGTCGAAAGATGTAGCGCTTTGTAAAGGAATGTTGTTGTTGTTGAAGAGGTAGACCATAAATTTTGGACAAAGTTGCATTGGCCAGTGACAATGAACGGGCTCGACCAAAAGTGTACTAATAGCGACGACGACACAGAACATGGATATCAGGACATGATATCTCGCCCAGCTGCCATTTTAGAATGTAAAGTGGACTTCCTTGTCGGCTGTGATAAGGGGATCCTCCCCGTTCACGTCCGGGGTAGAACCATCGCTGGTAATGATCTGATAAAAAGCCGAAACGCTGGCGTTAATGGTGTACCGACCCTCGTTAATCAAGGCCGAGTCGGTCTCAAGTGTGAATGTGTACATTTGCCAGTCCCTGCGAGAGGCTCGATTTGCTTCAATGAGTTGGTTTTCAAATGCAAATGCGGGAAGAATGAATTCGCTGTCTCCGTTGACTGGGGTGATGGTAGCCGCCGCTTGGTAAGTGTTCCAATAACGGTCTAGGTGCTGCTTGGCTAGGTTCTTCCTAACGTGGAAGATGAGAGTGATCTTCACGATCTCGCCACATCTAGGATCCTCGGGTCCCGATATTTCGAGTTCAATGCCGTTGGAATTGTTGCGGCCGACGGCCATGGGGCCGGAACTTCTAACACGGCTTGACATATTGTAGGTGGTTCTTGAGATAAAAGGTCGTGAGACGCAAGTGTAGACGATTTGGACTTGTGGGGGAATGATTTGAAGAAGTGGTGGATGCAGATACATCTCCCATCGTGGTCTTGCTGTGGGATCTGAGCGGTATTTTATGTCTTGCATCTCCAGACAGCATTCGACAATAATACTCATGAGGTTGTATGGGTGGCACGAAACGCGCACACATACACGTCAAAAGAAGCAAAAGCTGCTTTCTCTGGACTTGGAAATTACACGTTGGGAGAATAAAGAGTTGTGTCACACTATGGGGCACCGTGATGTCAACAAACAATCGCTGTTTGATCGAAAGTACTAAAATAAGGCTCGAAAATATATATATCTCGATGCTCAAAGCCTTGTCCAATTAATAGATGTCTATGATTAGCGTGGCACTACATATTCTTTGTCGATTTGACTTCTTCGTTGCCCCAGTCAAGGTCGTCCCGTCCCGTACATCGTCCTTGTCTACAACGGTCTAACGATCTTTGTTTAACTGCTAAGAATTTGCTACCCCAGTGAAGGGCGTGCCATCTCGCAGACGTCTTTGTTTACAGCGGTCTTTGTTTTATGTCCTAAGGGTTTGTTGCCCTACTCAAGGGCATGCCATCCCGCACATCGTTTTGCTACAGCTGTCTTTGATTCAGTGTCCAGCCAAGGGAGTGCCATCCCGCTATCGTTTTTGCTTCAGCGGTCTTTCATTTACCCCAGCCAAGGGAGTTCCATCGCGCACATCGGTTTTGCTACAGTAGTCTTTGATTCAGTGCTGAGAAATTGTTACCCTAGCAAAGGAGTGTCATCCAGCACATCGTTTCTGCCACAGCAATCTTTGTATTTCAACGCTGCAAGTACGATTGCTGTATGAAAAGCATTCTCAATTTTTGGATCGTCAAAGACTCTATTTCCGGGTACGCCAAATCTCTCTCACTTCAAGGCCATGGCATCATTACTGTGCCTAAAAAACATACTTCTATTCCTGGACGACTAAGGTCGGCAAAGAACGATGATGTTCAGAGTACATCATCACGTGCCATGCTGCCCTGCCGCTTTATGACTAATCATGTCAGAAAGACATCTAATGAAGATGGTCTTGTTCTGTTTTCCTACCCCTGTCTTTTTTATTCTCGTTGTACGGATTTTTTTTTGCTCTCTTGCTAATGTGCACGTCTGTTTCTCCTGCTCGGCAGAATTCCCGGTGCCTCTAGCTAAAGGGCGGAGACAAGAGACCGCGCATCAGTCATCAATTAGCTTAGCCAATACCGTCGCGTCCTCAACTTTGTCGCGCTGTTATTCAAACACGAAAGCAGCAAGTCAACAAGAGCAATTTGAGACCACACGCCACCAACTACCGCGCCCGCCACCCCCCTGTACGTTTGCCAGCAACGGACATGACGATTTTGCCAGCAGCCGTTGAAGATCCCGACTTGCTTCGCGCCACCACGAACGGAGAAGAAGCCGCCGACATTTCTTCCTTTCCGTCTCTCGAACCCGAGTCGTCCGACACCTCAACAGTCACATCGCTTCCCTGGAAGTCGTTCAAACGTCCCATGTTGAGCAAATGTCCTTTTGATTTCACAGACTTGGATTTCTCGAAGGAACTTGGCCATGGCGAGGATGGCCTTCTGCTAATGGCCAGAGAACTAGTACACTTTAAAATTACTAATATTTATTCAACCCACGAATAATAAATCTAAAAGAGATTCCCAGCTCCAATCCGTTTCATCGGAAATGAAAAAGAATCGCAAAACATTTAAATAAAAATAACAGTACAAACATTTTACGTCATCCACGAAGCAAATACATTATGTTCCCTGTTTGTTTACTTCACAATAACGTGTATGATCGTTTTGCAGGACAGATCTTGAATTCAAAAATTCACGAAAATAGCGCCAAAAAAACCACCCGAATTTATTAAAAATGCGTCGGCCGGGAATCGAACCCGGGGCCTGTCGAGGTTGCGTCAGATCATGTGACCCGACATGGCAACGACAGATTTTACCACTAAACCACCGACGCTTTTGGTGTTTCTTGAAATGGCGAACGCTAATGTGGTATATCAGCATCACAGGCATCATCACGCTGTCTGGACTGTTAGCCAGGAGCATTTTCGACCCCGGATTCCACTAAGAGAAAGATTTAATTACTAAATCACCCACGCTTGATTGTTTTTGCTGACTTGTGTGATGTTGTCATTGTAGACGATTTAAGAGCAAGGACATATGGTAGATACGATAATGGCACTTGATTGATTTCCTTCCAGGAGACAGGATTGCATAGCCATCAAACACGACCCTGGCCAGACTTGACAGTCAATCTGGAATCCCCACCTCCTCCAGCCTGATACATGTCTCCTTGCCCGCGCTCTACTAGCTGTTGGCCGTCGCCGCATTGTAAAAGTGAATCTATTCGTTAGCAACAGGGAGCATATCGGTCAGCTTGTCGGCCACATGTAGTGACTTTGCCAACGCCGCCGAAAACGCCTACGTACCGTCTCGTCTGCACAGCCGGCCGGCGTCTGGTACGAATACGCGCCCGTATTGATAAACAGCTGCTGCTTCGCGCACACGAGCCACGCGGCCAGGTTCTGGCGCTTGACCGTCGGGGCCGTCCACGTCACCGTGTCGCCCTGGAAGGCAAAGGTCCCAAACGTGCTTTTCGTGGTGTTGAAGGACGTCGCCAGCGTCCGCGGCGGGTTGGCCGGGTCGGCGGGCTCTTGGACGTGCATGTACAGCGGGCCGTCGCTGCCGAGAGAGTTGACGAGCTGGCCGTCGACAATGTTGAACTGGCCGGCCGTCGTGTAGCTGTCGAGGATGGCGACGCCGGCGACATTGGCGGGCTTGGTCTGGAGATACTTGTGGAAGTTGGGGGCTTCGACGGCACGGATCCAGAGCTGCCCGGCCGTGAGGGTCGTGGGTGTGGCGGCGCGGGGACTGTCCACGTCCGGCGCCGGGGCGGCCAAGGCGGCGGACGCGAGCAGTGCCGTTGCGAGTATGGACAGCATGGTGAATGTCGGGGATTGAGACAGTTGGAAAAACATAGCCAGGAACGGTGGCATCCCATAGATGCGAGAGTCTACGCTGGGTCTGGCCTTTTGTACCGGCCAGGCCAGTCTGTCGCCCACCTGTCCATGTGATTGAATTATTCTATTCATTTAGATTCGGCACGGGTAAATGGCCAGTGGGTGCGCCTGGCCCTCCTCCGCACCTAGACGGGAAACGGGGCCTGTACCGGGTCGAGGCAATATCGCAGAATGGGATCGCCCTCTCATCGCGGTTTTGTTTGTGTTAAGATTTAATTCTCGTCGTGAAATGGAGCTAGTAGTCCTTGCATCTGTCAAGAGGACCTTTGCTAGCGCGTGGCTCATTGTTACAGATCTGTCGTTTGTTCTCCCTTTTGGGGTGTCTCCAACTCGGCGAGACATTCTGGCCAGTGCTTGGAGTCCGCTCCGCCAATGGCTGGCCACGCATGCTGGCGGCTGAGTAGACGACCACAAGTTACGCCGAATCTGACATGTTGTTCGGCCGTTGCCACATAGTTGCGTAGTTTTACAGTTTCCCGTTTTCATATGTTCACGAGTATTGCATATAGCCAAATCGCCGTCATTCTCCACGATCGCATACTTTTATTGTTTCCGCCTCCCGCCATCACTGTCCACCCATCATGTCCGTCAAAGTCGCGGTCTTCTCGGCCAAGCCGTACGACAAGGAGTACTTGTCTGCGACACTGGCGGACAAGAAGCAGGATGTGGCTTCCAGCCACAGCCAGAACCCGATCGAGCTCGTCTTCCATGACTCTGCGCTCGGTCTGCGCACCGTCGCGCTCGCTCGTGGTGCCACGGCCGTCTGTGTGTTTGTCAATGACGTGCTGGACGCCGCCGTCCTCGAAGCGCTGTCGGCCGAGGGCGTCCGCGCCGTGTTGCTGCGCTGCGCCGGCTACAACAACGTGGACCTCGCCGTCGCCGAGAAGCTGGGCGTCTTCGTCGCCAGCGTCCCCAGCTACTCGCCCGAGGCCGTGGCCGAGTTCAGTGTCGCGCTGCTCCAGACACTCAACCGGCGCACGCACCGCGCCTACAACCGCGTGCGCGAGGGCAATTTCGCGCTCGACGGGCTGCTGGGCATGACGCTGCACGGCAAAACCGTCGGCGTCGTTGGCACGGGGCACATTGGTCTGGCGGCGGCGCGCATCTTCAAGGGCTACGGCTGCCGCGTCCTCGCCCACGACCCGTACCCGTCGGCCGCCTTTGTCCAGGAGGAGCTCGGCGAATACCGCGCGCTGGACGACCTGCTGCCGCAGTGCGACGTCGTTAGCCTCTACTGCCCGCTGACCAAGGATACGCACCATCTCATCGACGAGCGCACGCTCCCGCGGCTCAAGCCGGGCGCCATGCTCATCAACACGTCCCGCGGCGGCCTCATTGCCACCAAGGCCGTCATTGCCGCGCTCAAGAGCCGCCACCTGGGCGGCGTCGCGCTGGACGTCTACGAGGGCGAGGGCGGCCTCTTCTACAACGACCACTCGGGCGACATCATCGACGACGACGAGCTGATGCGCCTCATGACCTTCCCCAACGTCCTCGTATGCGGCCACCAGGCCTTCTTCACCGTCGAAGCCTTGACTGAAATTGCCAACGTCACCCTCCAGAACCTGAGCGACTTTCTGCTGAGCCGCCCGTGCCCCAACGCCCTCGTGGCCGCTCACAAGCAGGTTGCCCGGCGGGACTCCCTTCCCGTGCGCATCTAATTGTGAAGGTATCGAGGATCAGTGCCACGGGAGGAGATTGGGCAATTGTGGGATTTTCCTTTGGGATTTTTGAAGTTTCAATTGATGACCGCATTTATTGATGTCGAGAAAGGGAGATTGGCTCGCAAAAAGGTTGAACGAAGCTGACTTCCAGTACGGTACGACGTAGGTGTAAGGATGGATGGGATCGTATTTCTCCTATCAAGAGGATCCCTCGCCGGATCGGAACGAATCTA